AGGCCGGCCCCCGCCACCCTCTTTCCCGCGCCCCTCCTGAGCCCAGCTCTGTTCCGCGCTGCGGGAGGTGTGCGCCCTGCGCTGGGGCCCATGGTCTTCATGCCCTATTAGCCTTCCGGCGGCCTGCACACTCCGGACCATGCCTCCTGCCCTCCCCGGAGGAGCCAGGCTGGTTCTGGGGCAGCGTCCCTCTCCTCACCTGCCCTTTCGGGGCTCCCCCCACAGTGCCCCTGCATTCCCAGACCACCACTCCCCAAGGTCTATGCCAAACCCCACCTGACCTGTGGTGCTGTCTTCCTCCCAACCAAAGACCTCATAGGGGCCTCCTCTCCCGGCCTGGGCTGGCTCTGTGACCCCTGCCCTCAAGTCACTGGGATCCTGGAGGCTAGGGGTGGGGTCTGCAGCTGGAAGGGGCTCCAGGCTGTCAGGACACAGTAACTGCGGGCACCACGGACCCGGAGGTCCCACGGTCCTGGATCAGCAGTGCTGAGGGGGGGCCCTGTGCTTGCTGGGCTGGGCGGCACTGGGGGCAGAATTCTGGTGTGGCCATTTACTGAGCCCCCCAACCCCGGCTCTTGGGGAGCCCTGTGTCCCCCCAGGCTGTGGCCTCAGCAGGCACACTGAGGTCCCACCCCTGCCTGGTCCCTGCCCCACCCCAGGGCCACTCCACACCATGGGACTGGGCCAGGCCCCACATACTTTGGTGTTTTTGAGATATTTCCAATGAGAAGAAGAGGGAGCAGGGACTTTGTTAACAGCAGTTGTGGTTTTATTGTGTCCCACGAATGCATCAATAAATGAACATCAGGCTGGAGCCTGTGATCCATGACCTGACTCCTGCTTGGCGGGTTCTGCCCTGTCCTGGGGAGACGGGCGGGGCTGGGGACGCCTGGCCGTCACATCTCCCACGCTGGGTGCAGGGTAGAGGCCCAGAGTGGCATGGAGAGGTGGTTATGAGCTTCCTGGAGCTGTTACTGCTTCGCCTGCTTCCGTCCAGGTGACTGAGGTCAGAGGCGAGGGGAGCACCGTGTTCCGCCCTGACTGGGGCGGGCAGGGGTTTACAGAGGTTAAGAGAAACTGGCCCAGAGACCAGGCCGCAGCAACCCGGGAGGGCACCGAGGGTGACACACTGCTGCCCCCTGGTGGTCGAGGAGAACTGAGTCCAGCCGCCAGGGCTAGGACCAAGCACCGTGAAGAGAGGAGACAGACAGGACGGCAGCCCTGGTAGGCTTTGGACAACCAGAGGGGAAAGGACCTGGGAGACCAGTTGCCTTGGCAGGTAGGCTGGTCTCCAAGCCAGAAGAGGAACCAGAACACAGGGGACAGAGGAAAAAGGAGCTGGCTCCTTCCTGCCAGCTCAGCCGAGGGGTGAGGGGCTGTGCCTAACACTGGCACCCTGCACACAACACCTGGACCCCTTGTTCACGTCCAGGCTGCTGCCTCGAGTGTGTGTGTTCTCTTGCATGCACGTAACTGGCAGGAGCTCAGAGGGCTGGCCACCCAGTCAGAGGCCCAGACCCTAGCCAGGCGCTCAACTGTAATCCCACCTACTTGGAGGCTGAGGCAGGAGGACCCAAGACTGAAGCCAGCCTGGGCACCTGAGACCCTGTCTCAAAATCAAAAAGGCCCCAGACCCTAGATCGGGCACTTGTGGTATGGTAGTTCCTCTTCCTGTCCGGGCGACAGTGAAGACAGGGAGGGTGTCAGCTGGGAGGGAGTACTGGGTCCTGAGAGGAGGGGCGCTAATAAAGGCTATTCGTATTTGTTGGGGTTGAGTGGGGACAAAATGGCCTGGGACAGCCCAGCTGCCTGGCCAAGGTTTCCCCCTCGCCCCAACCATTCTCCAGGGCCCCAGGAGCTCAGCGGGGCTGGGAGGGGGCGGACGGCAGCTGTTCAGCCGTCCAGGGAGCCACTGCCCTTGTTCTTGCGGCTGAGCGGGAAGGCTGACTTGCTCTGGGGCTGGGTCATCTTGCTGGCCAGGTAGACGAAGGGCTCCAGCAGGGAGCGGCGGTCAGCCACCGACACCTCCCACAGCTTCACCTTCTCCGACTTGGCCCAGTGCTGAGCCACGTCCGGGTCCACACGCCGCTGCTCCTGGAGGTCACACTTGTTGCCCAGGACCACGATGGTGACCTGGAGGAGGGACAGAAGCCTTGGGATGGCTGTGGGTGGGATCGAGTGGGGAGGGCACAGAGCCACTGTGCAGACCGGCAGCTTTGCGTGGGAGCCACTCGCCCCATGGCCACCTCTGGGGACAAAGACTCTGCAGTGCCCTCTGGCCAAGTCAGCTCCTACCCCACCTCCTGGCCAGCGAGTGTAGATCGGAGCCCTGGGGCTGGTCCCAGCTGAGGCCACACCTCCTTCTTATCCTTAGATTTGTCGATCTCCTTCTTCAGCAGCTCCACGCGCTGGAAGGACTCTCGACTGTCCGTGCTGTAGACCAGGACATAGCCATCGGTGCAGGAGAAGCAGTGCCTCGGCAGCTCAGTCCCATCCCGGAGCCCGCGGGTGTCGTAGAAACGCACCTGCTCCCTCACGCCCCGGTCCGTCTCGATGGAGCCCACGTAAATGTCCTCCTGGGTCTCCATCATCTCAGAACCTGGGGCAAGAGGGAGGGAGACTGGAAAAGTGAGCATGGACGTCATGCTGAGAGGGACAAAAGGCCGTGGTGCTGAAGAGAGGCTGGGCCAGAACCCAGCGGGACCAGAACTAGTCAGGGTAACAGACACGGATGTCACACTAATATGGGGCACCATGTGGGGGCTTCTCCTTCCTATCTGAGATCCGTTTAAGGTTGCAGAGCTGGAAGTTACACTAGTTTCATCCCTTTTTTCCCCCCAGCTCTAAGGATGAAAACAGGGTATATGCAATTGCCACTGGTCTGTTAAAAATCTGAAACAGGACCTCACTAGTTGCCTGGGGTCCGGCGTGAACTTAGTCCTCCTGTGTCAGTCTCCCAGCCTGCTGGGATGACGGGCACGTGCCACGCCCTCTTTCCGGCGCAAAAACCACTGGAGCAGCTGGGCCCCAATCCTATTCCTCATTCGGAAAAGCCTTCCGCCGCCCCAGGCCCAACCACACTCACCCACTACATGGTTCCCGTACAGGAGCTGCTCCAGGATGGAAGTTTTCCCCACCGACGCCTGGCCACACACGACCACCTTGCAGCTCTTCCCCATGCTTAGCCTCCCAACTGGAGGGACAGAGGCACCTGGGTGAGGCGAGGGCAAAGGGGATCAAGGCAGAGAGCAGCCCTCCCTCCACCGAGAGCCCAGGTCCCACGATCCGCAGCACCCGACTTAGGGTGACCCAGAGTCCGAATCGCCTTCCCCGAAGGGACCCAGGAATTCCAGCTAAAGGTCCCCTAAGACGGCAGAGATCGCTCTCACAGCGGGTCCCCAGCACCCCCAGGAACAGCGCCTGCCACCGATCCCTCCCAACACAGCCAGTCCGGCGATCGAGATACCAAGGAGACCCACGCCCCTGGGGCCGCCT